AATATAATATATATAAAACTTTTTTATTTGACGAGATATCTTCACGATCTTATCTTATTATAACCCCAGTGTAGCCGAAGCTACCGTTTGTTCTTATTTTTTTTTTTTTAAATCAGAAGCAAATATTCAATATATATAACATTGAATTAGATACGAAAGTAAAGCCCTATTTGATATTCAACTCGGCATCAGATTTAAAATCGGTGTCATTACTAAGAACACTGCTCTTCGTCATTTCAAAAATAAATATTTTTTCCGTTCCCATAACTAACCCAATAGAGCACATTAATTCCTACTCACTCACCAAAATTTATTTTAAACATTTAGCAATTACCACAAATTTTATGAATCGTAAATTTTATTAAGTATTGTAATTTATCGGTTTCTATTACCGTATTTATTCATATGTTTAAAATTTTCTGCTGCTCGTATATTTGTTGCAAATGGACAAAGCTCTCATAATTTTGCCAATTCCAGAAGTTCACTAAGCAATAACAATGTGCTGTTGTTGTATTTGTTTTTTGTTTCAAAGTGGTGATATATTATTATGACTATATACTCTATGTATGTCTATATGCAAATTATAAATAATGGGTTTAATTTTCATAATGAATAAATGCAATATTTTATTACTGGAGGTGAGGTGTCACATTGGAAGTGTCGTCGGAAATAACGAATAATAACTGCTGAATACTTATGAAAATGTTTCTCAAAAAAAAAAATTTGTTTTCTAGTTTCAAAAGTGAATAACACATTTATAAACATAAAATATGTGCTCACCTGTATCTAGCGCGATATTTGCATATACAGCTTGCTTCGGCTGCACCAAAGCTATAATACCCTTCAAAGGTATATTTCTTATAGTATAAAGGGTATAAAAAGAACTTTATCTGGACTTTGATTGATCAGTTTGTATGGCAGCCATACTATTGTATATGATAGACCGATCCAAATAATAATTTCGGAGATTGTAGCGATGCTTGGGATAATAATCTATGCCAAATCTCGTAAAGATATGTTATCTTGTCAAATAAAAAAGTTTGGTATATATACCATTGTATTGGTTATATAATTTCCTGCAAACAAGCTGTTGTTGATGTTATTGTATCATCAAACATATTATTTATTTTGTGAAATACTGCTGAAACAAGAGTTGAAAGATATATATATATAAATGCGGATAAAATTTGTTTACGTATAAAAGACTGTCGTGGGAACGGCTTAGATGCTTTGCTCCAGTAATCATGTAAACAATTGTTTTTAAAATTTTCGACTCATGAAGAAAGAAAAATTTGGCCTGAAATATAATATACTTTTTAGATACTTTTTTATAACTTTCATTTCACAGTTATTGTATTGTATATATAACTCCACTCAAAACCGCACGAAAACCCATTCATTTTCATTTAAATTAACAACTAATAGAAGAAATTTTTATGCATGTAGCTTTTGCATCCACAAAATTTCATTTCAATCCGACAGGATTCTAAAATATGAGTATAATAAAATTTTACGGCCTGAACATCATAACGGAACTATCATATTCGTCTTTATGTGAATTTAAACAAACGGCTGTTTCAACAAACCTAGGCAACACAAAGCCTAGCACATAAAAGACAAGAGAGTACAACTGAATGCACATCCTTAAACACGTACACTCTATCTAGCCGATACTGCTATCGCACCTACACAAACACTACAATAATTTTATTTATGTATGAAACGCACTAAAGACTGACATCATGAGGTAGATTACAGCTAAGTTGCCCAGTACGAGGCATGGAACAAATATTTATATTATTTAACAAACGCCCACATACTTCATGTCGTGATCTATGAAATCATGCACAATCCGTGCATACATAAATTTCTATGTATTCATGCATATAAGTGCTCTATGATGCAACACAAGCACTTGACATTCTATAGGCGCATCACACGGCCGCCTGCTTCGACTCTTCAGCGCTGCTGTGTAACTGCAGGTGTGCGTGTACGCCTAACGGTAGTCTTATAAGCACAAGTGTCAGTTTATGAGACATTTAATTTTACAACAACATAAAATATATAGATTTATGTACTTACAATAGATAGACGAGTGTCTACACATAAATAAATACTTTCGCCTACAGGTGACTGCCTGATGACAAAATACTTGCTGTGACACACTGCCAGTGTATAATAATAAATTATTTTGCAATACCTTTACGCTCTGTGAGACCACAACAACAATGTAAATACATGTGCTATATATTAAACGTTCATACAGTCAGTAAAAGGTTGGCAATAATTTCCATCTGACACCGGGTTTTTTATTGAATTACAGAGTTACAGGTTACAAGCTCGCGAAAATAAATAAGCCATTTGCAGAGAGAGAGAGAGAGAGAGAGAAACTCTCTATGATTATATATTGTATGTATTAGGGTGGTCGTTAAATGTAGGAAGATAACTTTAATAAAAGATTTCCTAAACCAGAAATCTAACGCCATTACTATTACAGATATCACATTGGCATTTTGGTCTCAAAAAATTACAGTTAGAACGTTATTGTTGTTGCTAAGCCTCTTTTATATTCACATCAGTCAAATATGGTGGCCTCCCAAGAGCAATGTCAGATCTTAAGAGAAAATGCTTTTAATAAAAACACGTCCATCGGTAGTTAGGAGAGTTGCTAAAGAAACCTCGTTCGATTAACAGCTTCAATAGTTTGGAAAAGAGAGTTATACAACACTGAATAGTTTGCTATTTAGCATCCTCTTCTCTATAAGTTTTTACCGTAATCGATTTATGGTTTTGAAAAGTTTCGATGCGGTGAAAATTGTGTGCAAAAACCAGTCTATTTTCCAGAGTTTTGTGGCCTTTTAAGCTAATTTTGTTGAAAACATATCTTTATGCTATGAGCGCCGAACTCTTAATCTTTTGCTGATAACGGTACGTCTAACGGAAACCAATTTATCTATGAATGCCATCTATGCCACTAATTTTCTATGTACACAGTTATATACATAAGTATATACATAGCTATGTATGCATGTGCTTTCGAGCTCATAATGCATAAAAGCAATAAATTTCAGCTGTGACAAGTGTCGCGCGTAATTTAGCAACTGAACTCTGTGTGAGCGTGTTTATAGCTTTGCATGCATGTGTAAATAATATATGATGGCATAGTGCAGCAGACGTGAGGAATAATCCCCCTAAGCAACACTACAATACATTCCTTGCTGCTCCATTTTTTATGCGAATAAATAAATCTGTTAATCTGCCAGTTAGAAAACCATAACTCCCAGCAGGTGCTCCAGAGAGTATAATATAGAATAATATACTTTGGCAAGCACAATCAAAATCGAAAATAAATGAGCGAAAATCTACTTAAGGTTCAAATATTTTAATCAAAACTAATACGAGCTGTTTTAGAAACCTCAAATTCGAAAAAGAAAATATTACAATTCAATTACAAGATTCTACTAGTACCTGTGCCTATGAAACTAGTTCGTGGCGAATATTAGCGACAACTCACAGCTAAAAGCTTGAAGTGAGACCATTTTGCGCTACCACAAATTCAAGTATCGTGATTTATTGTTATGCATGGAAATGCACTCAGTTAGGAAGATAAGTTATTGTTTATCAGCCAAGTTAACTAATAAATACTGATATATGCTAAATAATCATTCCTCGTTTTGTATATATATGTATGTAAATTTATATAAGCAGAAATTTATACAATAACATGCACGTTTTCCATTTCGAAAGATTCCAATTTAACTTCATAATCAAATTTATTTTGCAGAAATGTATTAAAATATAAAATTAATTGTAAACATAATTATTATAATATATCCTGTCAATAATAGACAACATATTAATCACAAAAAAATATATGTATATAAAGTTTTTGAATAAATTTTGCCTACAGTTAGGCGCATTTAACTAAAAAACTTTGTTTTTAAACAGACTTATGATTATTTTACATAATATCACAGCAATCAATAAAAAATAAATATATATTTTCATACTCTCATAAGATCTTAATATTAGTTAAAAAATACTGGGATATCTTGTTGCAGCTTGACGCACATCTTCCGTGGGGCTTAGTGTTGCATCTGAACAACGTCAGGCTCATAAAATTATATTCTAAAACACATACATATATGAAAACTGTGAAGCCTTCAAAGTTCAAAGCTAGACTTTGGGATAGAGTTCCGCAAACAGTAAGAGTGTACATTAATTACAGAAATGTAGATGTAAGGGGTCACAAAAGGCGGATTATAGTTTGGAAGCTATCAAGTTATTTGACTCTACAACAAATAATTTCACTACCGAAAATAAGCCAAGAACTTATGTAAATAAAAAATATAGGAATGTATATGATCCTTCAGTTGACATTTTGGTTGGTGCTCGGCTGAAAAATAATTATTTAATTATAATTAAAAATTCACTTTACTTGAGTCCTTAGAATTTCGAGACAGTTTTTTATATTTTCTTCTGCCCAAACACAAATACCAAATAAAACACAATTGTTAACCGCTTCTAAAATTGAAATATCTTGATAGCTTAACTCATCGCTATATATACTTAGGAACTAAAAGAGTTTTACTTTCCTTATTCAGATTTTATGACATTTACAATTGTGATATTAAGACTTAAGATGGCTTCAAATCCTCAATTGTAATATTCATACTTTGAACACAAATAGATATAATGCAATCAATTTCCTTAGAAAATTGCTTTTTAGCAAATTCATTGTGAAATCTTATTTATAAGTTTATAAATTAGCAATTTATTTTCATGCCAACACAACGATGGCAATCAGCATCTTTCAGGTGTATATTAAAATTTAAAAAAATTATCTTTGATTTCCGTTTCACTCAAAAATTGCCAGTGATTTGGGTTTCAACGCATTTTATCAGCATCACCATCGAATTCACTTCAATATTCTATGCACACAACAATTGCACGTTAATTTTTTCTCATGAATATTTTGCCTTTTCTCATTCAATTTGCAGAAAATTCATTCCGCTGGGAATCATTGAGGAAGGCAGCTATGAAAAGGATGTGCTATTCTACGTCAACATCGGTGAACCCATCATTGCGCCAGGTACATATATGTTTTCTATATGCTTATATTCGCTACATATACTTTATATATATATACATAAACTTACCATATACATACATATATGCATACATACATACTTACATATCAGTATAGTTTGTATGTATGCACTTGCAAGCCTTGCTCGCCCTAGCCTACCTACTCGCGAAACTAGCGTATATAATATGTACTTATTTAGTATATATATGTTGCATATACATATGTATATGCATGCATAATATACAACAATAAATAAACATGTAAATAACTGCTCCTTTGAGAAACTAAATGCCAATGCGAGCAGTCGGCAACCAATCAATCCAAAATAAGAGAGAAACCCACACAACTCCCCAACCAAGGTCCATCCCATGTATTTTCCCCCGCCGCTACTACCGCTACTGCTGTTACTGCTGCCGCTGTTTTGTCCCGCTGTAGTGTGACCAATCAATCCCCAAGTAGTCAGCGTTCCAATGACTTTCACCTTTTAAAGTGAAATTTCGTTACGTTCAAAAGCTCACACGGCGACAAACGTCAAGTTAATGGCGTATATACGAGCATAATATATATGAATTTATGCATATATTTATGGTATTCATTCACGTTCCTACATATGATTGTGTATAAATGTATGTACATAAATCCCTAGACGAATCCTTGATTATTATTTGCTTTTATATTGAATAAAGGATTTTTTTCGAAAAATGCAAAAAACCAAAAAAACAAAAAATGAAATGAAAAGAAAGCAGCTTTTATGAAAATTCGCACAAAGTACTTTTTCCATTGGCTTATGAATATACCATACAAATATACATATAGTATTGTAGCAAAATTCTACTCAACCATGAAATCTAAATATTCTTCTTCTTTTCTTTCATCGTTTTCATGTTTTTTATTCTTTTTTTTCTCTACTATATATTGTATTCTTACCGATATACCTTCGCCTACACACACATATACACAAAAATATTCAAATACACACACAAAGACAATGCAGTTCCCACGATGAATTTCAGTAAAGTCTACAAAAACATTATAGTTTTTTTTTAGCTATTTTGTAGCGCCATAGAGTTCAAATTAGTTAATGTGCCATAAAATGAAGAATATAAAAATATAATGCAAATGCTCTGCAAGCACATAGTTAAGCGATTAATTTCTATAATTGAAGCAAAATAATGTTAATTAAAAAATGTATATATTTTTTTTAACGGCAAAGCCTTTGGCGCTTGCGCATTTAACTTGCCGCAGAAAAGCATGAAGAACGCAATAAATGCAAATTCAAATGAATGAAAAATACCAAGTTAAATAAAATGAGAAAAAAGCGTAACACAATCACAAAGCCACCGCCATATGCGTATAGTGTTCGTATACTTTTAGTTGCGTATACGCCCCGCCATACGAAAATGGCACATGAAATAAAATGCAAGTCGTTGAAACGGTCGCTGTTGCTTGCCAGTCAAAAAAAGTGCAACTCCACTCAATTAAAGCGCGAATTTTTTGCTTTTTGGTTTTGTTTTTTCTTTTTGGAAATATTTTGATTGAAAAGCTGTGTGTTTTTAAGAGCTTTTCAACACTTGATTTTTGGTAGTATATTTTGTGCGCAAAGTATATTTCCTCTGATTTCACTGCACTTTTATTTCAGTCAAATATTTGTATAAATATTTTTTAACCATTATATAGTATTTTAATTTGCGAATATATTCATACCTATGTCGTTATGCCGCACGAGCCTCACTTAACTTATATTCCCGCAGTTAAGACACTTTTAGTTAGTCATTTGGCTGACCGTAGTAGTAAAATAAACGTTTTTATTTGAAGTTGTAAAAAGCAATGTGATTGTGTGTGTTTGCAGTTAAAGTCGCGCTGCTTCCTTAGACCCCCTTTAGTGCAACCCTGCGTAGTCGATTCGCATTTATTTGCCTTTGTGGTATAAGGAAATCCCCTTGCCACAAAGAATACAACATCATTTGTAAAATATCCCCAAACAAGAAGCATGTAATGCCTATCATACGTAATTCGTTTGCGATTTAGCGCACCCTGTTCGATATGTAGTATGCAAAAAGTAATCGAACGCCATCCACACAACAATACACACAAACATAAAAAATCCTATCGTTGTTTAGCCTGCATCATTGTTGATTTTACACGGCTGGGCATGTCACCAAAAATAACTCGTACGCCGCAATATTACAAAAAAACAAAAATATTAAAAAGTTGAGAGACAAACTAAAAACCTGTTGATGCCATCGTTGGCTTGATATGTTTTTGGTTTAACATCACTAGAAACTGCAAAACTATTTCATGACTTATTTAGTCCTTTTTTTGTCTTTTGCCATGTTTCAATCATATCTATTAATATTATTTTCATTTTAAAATTAATTACATCCAAATCGTTTATAGTTTTTTTTTTTTGATATTTACATTTTTCTACATATTTAATTGTAGTTTTATTTGTTTTAGAATTATTATTTATTTCCCCCCCATAATTTTGGAGCTAAAAATTTATTATAATCCTCCAAAAACTTCCCTGTTGTCTCCTAAATATTTCCCAAATATATTTCCACATCATCAATCAAGTCTCGCAAGTTATATTAATATCGGGACTGTAAATGACTGCAATTTACTGCAAATTATTTAAAAATATATCTGAGAAGATGCTCATTGAAAATGTTTGAATAATACTTATGTAGAATAACATTTTTGTAACGGTCTATCGAATAAAAACTTAATTTAGTTTATTCAAAATACGAGTCGAAATGACACACATAAGAAATAAAGTGGCACAAAAATATTATTTATTTTTTAAAGAAACCTGAGTCCAATTTAGAAGAGCTTGAGTGATATTTGAAAAATGTCAAAAGTTTTGACAATCAGTGAAGGCTTAGAGCTGTCATGTTGCCATTTTAAAGTAATTTTCCTTAAGAGGTTAAATCCATTTGTAAATTTCAAATAATAATTTTATTTCGCTTTTTTATCGAATGTACATGTATTTGAAGATATTCTCCGCAAATTAGGAGTTGATCTGGCAAATAGTTTCGGAAATATGAGCGTATTTGTAAAATATTTTAACTCAGTGTAAATTTAAAACTTTAAACGCTTTTTCCAAGAACCGATATTTTCAGAGTCGGTAAGAAAATGTTCTCCGAAACGGCTGCAGCAATCGAAAATTTCACACGATTTTAAAAATTTTTGATAATAGTTTCATTAAAAAAAAGTTTTTTCTGGGAAGCCGCCAAAAAACTTCCTCACCGGCACCTTTTTTTCGGAGGTCTTCCTACAGGTTGACGAGAATACAATTTTTTTAAATTAATCACCGATTATTAAAGTAAATTAAATTCTATAAATTTACATTATTTTTATTTATTTTTAATATAAAATGTGGATATAACCCTTAACTTATATAAATTAAGAATATTAGGTTTTCTAAAACGAAGCTAAATCATAAAATTGCGTCCAAAGCTCCCTTCCATAAAAAGCGCCCAGTTTATTTGACATTCAAATATCGTTAGAGAATAGAGATATATTATGATCATGAAAGAAATACTATGCGCGATAAAGAAGAGGCAAACTTAAGTTAGCAATGGTGTCGAAAGATTATAATATATAAAGTGGCGAATCGAACAAACATAAATGCAACACACTGGCATACTGAAAAAAAAATGTAATAGATAAAAAGTTAACGCCTCTCTCGTATTAAATCCTAGTTGAAACTTTGGTTATTTCGTCTTCCTTTTAACTTTTTGTCATGAGTGTTGTGATTACAGTCTTTTACAGTCTTATCATTGAAATATTATCGCCTAACGATTAATCATAAGTATATACATTCATATAGTAAATATATATATATAAATAATTCATTAATAAACTCATTTGATTGAATTTATGCAACAAAAAGAAAATTATTCCTCCTATCCCTCTATTCAATATTCACACAGATAATAGCATTAAAACGGAAGCACTTAAATTTCTAAACAAGTTTCTCGGTATGTAAAATCCAAAACTTAATCTTGTTCAATATATAAGTATATACTACTTCTTGCATTACTTTTACAATAATATCTTCGTACTTATAAGTATTATGTAACTGCAAAAGCCCATTGGTAAATAATATAATATTTCAAAAGTTTATACAAGAAAATTTAATTAATGTTAAAAATTCAAATTGTGTGCTGTGAATCGATAATTTGGTCGTGTTGAAAACTTAACTGTGTAATATACTTACAACTGTTTGTTACAAACTTTGTCTGAAGTGATATCATCATTGTTGCTAAATATTGCTGTTTGTGCTGTATAAATCGCTTAAAAATATATACCAATTTAGCTTACACATATTTTTTCAAATAATTCATGTAATTAAAAAGTATTCAGCATTTCAAAAAAAGATACAGAGTCGTTATTTTTTCAGTAAATAGATCATATTTTACATAAACCTAACAAAATATATAAATAATCACTCTTAGTTATACATTATTATATTAAACACACCATAAATAATGGTAAATATTCCGCTTGACAAAAATCTGTTTGTATACACAATATGTCATTAGCACTCATCAAAAAAAGCTTTATCGATACAAATTATAACTAATAACTAGATTTTACATAAAAAAAATTGTAGTTTTTGAAGTACATTTATATTTTTGTAACGTTTTTAAACATAGTACTTTGCCAAAAAGACATAAACTTTTTCATACTTATTCCTACAATGTATTGAAAGCTTTTAACTAATATCTACCTTGCGCTTATAGAAAGGCTTAATTTGAATGCTACACAATATTGTAGTCCCCCGTCCGCTTTACTGCTTCGAATGTATTTTTAAAATTAGCTACTTCACACCTAATCATTATTGTTTTTAGATGAACCACGCTTTAGCTTTTTAGCTTTTAATTTTTAAATATACTCGTAATGTGCACTTAGTGACTAAAGAACAAATTATATGGAGGATATTACAGTTAAACATTCCAACCAGTGCCATCTAGTCAAGAAAACTCTTAGGAAAGTTTTCCAGTATGTGAAATACGCATATTATCTAAAATTCCCCATGCATGATAGATATGGTACATGATTTATGATAAAAGGACCACCTTTTGAGTTGTAAATAGGTATGGTATGTCTGAAAAATAACCGAACTTTTTATTTGAATTATACAATATGCAATGATATTTATTGACAATTAAAAATACGAGTACATTCATCCTCTTTCAAACTCAACTAACTTGGTGAACTGGTGGAAAAAGGTCGGGAAATTATTGGTATCGATAAATTCTACTTTTTTGTTGGCTGAGGGATTAAATACGAGTAAAAATACTATTCTCAGAAGAATTTCAATTCTACTGAAGATTTGAGTAAAATAAAGGTCTGTGCATGTCTTGTTTCACATAAAATAAATGAAGACCAAAAAAGTGAACGAGTTTTTGTTGAACCATCTTTTTTGCCTGATCTATCACCATGTGATTATTTTCTATGTTCAAAACTGAAAATCAACATGAAATGAGCATTTTACTGACATTAAAAACTCTTCTATATTTGTCTTCAGTTCTAAGAAATACTTATGATTCTGTGGTGACTTTAGAATGCTTTAAGATATACGTATCTCCACCTAAAGTCTTCTAATTAGAGCACAAGCTATTTTAGTTATATTATAAACTGAGCGATCTTGAAGCTATTTTAAAATATCTTATTAAACTCTTTTACTAAACTTTTTATATATCATAGTAAAATAAACAGGTTGGTTGAAAAGTTTCTGCGCTCGTAATGAAAAAATACAGTTTTTGGTACGAAATATATTTGTTAGTTCAATATAATCTCTCTTGACTTCAATACACTTATTCCAATGATCCTTTAATAATTTTATGCCATCCCTATAATGAATTTCCGGAAGGTTTGCAAAATACCCGTCTACGGCTGTAAAAGCTTCTTCATTCGAAGAAAAACGCTTTCCACGAAGGAATTGCTTCAGGTTTCTGAAGAGCTAGTAGTTGCTGGGAGCCAAATCTGGTGAATGCGGTGTATACTCAAGCAATTCCTACTTTAATTCGTTGAATTTTGTCGTTGTTAAAACACCTTTGTGAGATTGTGCATTGTCTAGATGAAAAATTACCTTTTTGTGCTGCAATCCAGGTCTTTTTTTACGAATTTTTTCATCCAGGTGATCCAGAAGGGTGCAATACTATTTAGAATTGATTGTTTTACCTTTCTGTAGATAATCAATCAACAAGGTTCCTTTTGCATCCCAAAAAACTGATGCCATAACCTTCTTTGTTGATCGTTGAGATTTTACCTGCTTTGGAGCTGAACAACCAGCTTTAGTCCACAACGTTCTTATTTCAATTTAGGATCAAGGTGGTAGAAATCGGTTTTATTCTGCTTAAAACGATCCAAATTATGCTGAGAAATTTTTTTTCGATCCAGTTTTTGTTGAATTGTTAACGTGAGCGGCTCTAACAAACTTTGTCATATGTAATTCTGAAAATGATGAAAAATATGAAGTACTCATTCGTCTGAGATGCCTATGGCATTAAAAATTTTACGCTTTGTCAAACTTCGATCTTCATAACAATATTATGAACTGGCTCAATGATTTCTGGTGTGGTTGCGGTTTTTAGTCGTCCTCCGCATGGATCTTCTTCAAGCCTAGTACGGTCACGTTTAAATTCGCTAGCCCAAAATTTAGCAGTGCGTTTTGAAAGTGAGAAATCCTTATACACTTGTAACAATTGTTCATAAATTTTCTTTGCTTTTAAGCCTTCCAAAACAAAGAATCTAATCACTGCGCGATATTAAGTTTTTTCTATATTAAAAAAATACTCTGACACGACAATATCAAATGGTTTGTAAACAAAGAATTAATTGGCAGAATAACTTGTAACTTTGCATGTGTTCTCACGACAGATGTACCAACTTGAGCTTTGGAGCTAGTAGTGCTATATCTTGGGATGGACAACCAACTTTTCAACCAACCTGTATTGAAAGGCAAAACAGACCCAATAAATATATAGGTTGTTGAGTATTGAACAAAAGATATATCTAAAAGTTAAAAAAAATATCCAATTATTTAATAGATTTTAGTATTGACTTTCAAACATGTGGGCGTATTCACCTAAAAAACGGAAGAAATCAATAAATCCTTAAACATCACTCTTAAGGTACGCGGCAACACGACTTTGCATTTTGAATTAATTTGTATTTAGTCAATTAGGAAATAATCACTATAGGGGTAAAGCATTTAGTAATTATATCAAGGAAGTAAATATATCACAATACTGATTAAACAGTGTAAATAGTTTAACAATTTCGAACTACGATTATAATCTTCTTCACAAAAGATTTTAAAATATTCGTAGGGATTCAAAGAAATTGTATTAGCTAATCCTGATGGTATTATAGTAAACAGTACATTCGAAAAATTAAGTGCCACCTCCTAGGAGCTTCGAGATTTTCTTTGACCACTTGAAAGCAAATTCAAAAAAATATGAAAAATCAAAAGTTTAAATGCACTCAGTTAAAATACTATACTTAACAATATCTTCATATCACATTAGTATTTATTCATTTAAAGTCAAGCATTAAAAAATATAACAAAATGGTAAAAAACGTATGTATTATATGCATATATGATTACGCAATTTATGCTATGCAAACGCACTTAATTTGCGAAATTAATTTCATACGTTCATTTGCCATAAATTATTGATGTGGCCCGAAGGTGGGCTTAGTGAGTTCGTCAATTATTACAAAAACCACTCACCTAACTGTTTGATTTATTGAATTGATATGAAATTACACATCAATTGCGCTGTTAAAGTGAATTACTTTACTCTACTACTTGTTAACGTTTAATTTCAAAAAAAAAGGAAAATTGATTTCCATTTATTTGTGTGGTAAACAGTTTTGTAAAATTTGCATCGTGGAATTTAAGCTTTAATTATGCATAACCATATACCAAAATAGCATGGATGCACTTTAATTTTTTTGTTCTCTTTAGTATTATTTGGAAATATAATTGCAAAATTATTGAAAATTGCAATAAAGAACGAGATTAATAAGTAATGCAGTAATGTAATCTTATCAGAAAAAAAACCCTAATGTAATATTTACCACCCTGTATAAACGAAATCGTATAATCAGTGTGTAATTTTTGTATACCCTAAATAGGATATATGAATGAAGTTTGCTATTAAGGTTGTAACAATTAGAAGAGAATGTCGGAGGTCCTATATGTAAATGATAAACGTGACGAGTTGAGTCACTTTAACCATATTTGTCCGTCTGTCCGTCTGTATATAAGCAAACTTGTCACTCAGTTCTTCAGATGTCAAATCAAGTCTTTATATGGAAAATTCTTTATTTATTAAGATATCATCCCGAAATTTGGCGTAAATTAATATTTAAAGCAACGCTAAAATCTCCGAATAAATTGTTTAGATCGAACCACTATAGCATATAACTGCCATACAAACGAATATAAAAAAATCAAGTATATGGAAAATTTTATTTATTTAACGAGATATCTTCACGAAATTTGGCATAGATTATTGCCCAAGACAATGCTACAATCTCCAAATAAATTGATCAAATCGAACCAATATAGGTTATAACTGCCATACAACTCGATCGATCATTTTATACCCTTTTGTACTACTTATAAGTAATGCACATGTAAGAGGGTATTATAGTTTCGCTGCAGCCGAAGTAAACGTTTTTGTTTTTTTTTTTGAAGGAGGACCTTTTTTTTGTGGTGGTTTTCACACATAGAATAATATGAACTTTTATAAATTTTTTATTATGAATAGTTTTTCATCTTCCACACAAACAATTCCACGAAACAAGTTCTTTTTATTTATTTTAAATTTGTACATATTACACATAAAATGAGGTTAGGACTATACAAAACTCACAACATTTGCATTTCCAAAAATTGTCTGTGTGTCTGTTAGTGTATTATTTGTGTTTGTGAATCGAAAAATTATTACATAAATTTATTATTTACAATAATATTATATTTATAATTTTTATATTAATTATTTAAAAATTACATCTTTTCGTAACTGACATATCAGTTAGATCATAAAAAATGCATTTGCATTATAAAAATTATTTAAAATATTAATAAAAATATTTGAGTCAAATTGTGGTGACTAAACGCATTTCCGAAATTTGTTGTTGTTTTTAATTTAGATAAAAATAATAATATTTAAATTAAAAAGTAATATAACTCAATGCTTTATGTGTGTTTTTTTAGAAAAGAGCGTTACTTCAGTATATATTTTATTTTCTTTCAATTTGCTGTGTTTTAACATTATCGGCGCACTTAAAAACATGGATTTGTGAACGCACTCTCGTTGGCGTTTCACACTTTAAATGGCTAAATCACAAACAACTTGCGTCAACTATAAATATTTTTAATTATTATAACAACAACAAAATAAATAATTACAACTAAACTATAATATTACCACAATAAAACAAAATTATTAAAAATTAAAACAAACAAACATTGTTTGCATACAACCCACCCCGTCCGGCTTTTGTGGCTTCTCTCTCCACGCATTCGCTGTTGCTGCTGCTGCTTCTTCCTACTTTTCGCTTGCCATAATAAATTTGCATTTTCATTAAAAACATTGCAATTTGTAAACAATATGTAAATGTAATGATTTGTTTTTTTTTTTTTTTTGTTTTTTGAATGATAACTTTCTGTTTGCATATCTACTTCAAAAAAAATACAAAACGTATATAAATTTGAAAAATTAAAATGTGTAAATATTAAAAAATATCGTAAATATACAAATGCAACAATCAACAAAACTGCAACGCTATCTCCTACACACGAAAAATACAAAAAAAAAAATATTTAAAAAATTAAATAAAAATCTATCAACGAACGGTACGATTCGTACCACTGTACGCTATCCGATTTGCATTGCACTTGACTTGTACAAACCAAACTTCATAAAAATTTGTAAGTAATTTTCATAAAATACAACATAATGTTTAGCCTAACCAAAAAACACAATTTGCAATTAAAAATTTGCCGTGTTTATTTATCCGCCAAATTTATTGTTTGTGTTTTTTTTTTTGTCTTTATATAATGCCAAATTTCATGAGAGCTTCTAAATGTGTTTGATATCATGTGCTATGCATTAAATCGCAATGAAAGCAAACTCGTTGTAAAAAATATTTGTATTTAAAGATATATGTTTTTTTCGCTTTCTGTTTTAAAGTGAAGCTTTTTTAAGTGTCAGTGATAGATGTGACATATATAAATGTTAGATTGTTAGTAGCGATCATAAATGTTAAAATTATGTCAAATAAGTAATAGCGGTAAATAATAACAGAAAAAAATATGTAAATCTTAAATTATAATTTAAAAAAATTACTGTTACAATTAAAATATAAAATAAGTAGCTAAAGCGAATTTTTTTTTAAATCATCGATTAGTTTTGGACCCTAAATAGTTTTCAATGAAATCTGGTTCAGTAAATCCAATGTTGTTAGAGCATCAATGGAGGATATTAGTAAGTTCTATAGCAGCCATACAAACTAATCGATCAAAATCAAGTTCATGTATGGAAACTTTTGTATTTGTGAAGCGTACTATAGCTTCGGTGCAACAAACCTAACGTTTTTTCGTATTTTCTAATCAACCATCAACTATTTAGTGTTTGTAAAGCACACACTGGTACGAAATGAACTTCTTCGCTATCTTTCAAGTTCTATTATAAATAAAAAAACATAATTAAACTCAAAGATACTACACAGCAAGGCCAACCGTACCGTAGGAACCGTATTATATAATAAAAACTAATAAGTTATGTACAAAGTTCATTTTTTTACATAAATATATGTATTTGGTCTCTTTAAACTGTTTTTGTATGATTAAATTAGGAACCCGTTGCCAGATGATAATAAATAAAAAGCATGTTTGTGCTTTAATTAGGATTTGCGGGCTCTCATCTGGAACTAAGTTCCATGAATAAAAATAGTGTTACGAAAACTTACTATTTAGTACTATATTTAAATATTATGAATTATTCAAATATTTATATGTACCTATATACATTTTTTTCAACATTTGTAAAATATCTAAAATAGTCTTCTATAGCATTCTCTTTCAAAACTTTTATTAAATATAAAACTAATATAAGATCATTTAAAAATTTCAAATAAAAATATTCCTACCATTTTCGCTACTATCGCTATATTATAAACTTTTAAGTAAAATATTATGTCATGAAACACTTTATTTTTCTATAAATAAGTATTTGTGGCATGCAATCCAATTACCGCTTCAAATATATTTCAAGTTTTTTATACATTAATTGTGCAGCTTGTCACAGCACGGTGTTACCCCACTACCCTCTGTTGTTAGTTTTCACCCACCTGTCACTTTACATGGCTATTTGCATACATTTTTTGCAGCCGTTCAATTAAGTATATTGAACTATATATGATATATATACATATATACTTACGTGTTGCCACATGCATGGCTGAGTGTAGAGTGTAAAGTGGCATTTTGCATGCTCCAAGTTGTAAGTACTCAATACTAAATACAGTTTGTGTCATTTGTTGTGCATTGTTATTTTTTACATTTCCCTTTTTTTGTGCTTAAATTTACATACATACAAATTTATATGTATATGTAAATGTGTTTAAGTGTTTATCTATCAGCTGCATCGGCTTTTCGTGTTCGCTTTCCGCCAATGCTGCAACAAGTCACTGCAAAGTGCTGAACTTGTTGACTTTGCCTCAATGTTTGTTTTTGTATTTATATTAAACCTTATTTTTTGTTGTTGTGATTTCATGTTTACCAAATCGTTGTCACATTCTTTATACAAGAACTAAATAACAACTAAATTTCTGTTAACAAACAAAATATTTATGAAAAAAAATGTGTATTCTTGAAATAAGGGTATTCACAATGCATAATCGAATGTACCGATAGATATATTTTCTCGAATATTTAACACAATTTGCTTAAAATAACATCACCGGATACGGAAGTGTAGTTTTAAAATAAAATATTTCATATTGTCGTCATCATAAGTACTGTGAATACCTTCATTTCTTATTTGTTGCCCCGTCTTAATTGTGTAACACAATTTTCGCACATTTATTTATGCCGTTATTTAAACAAACAAAATTTATTGCTATTCACGCTGCTGTTCCCCCCGCTGCCGCTGTGACACATCTCTGCAGACGATGAAATGGTAGGACTTATTGAGGCCGCCGAGAAGAAGGCACCGGAGGAACTAACGGAGGAGGACAAAATGGCGTTACTGGGTCGTCCCAAGTTGGGCGAGGTGGTGCGTGCCGAGCTGCGCATCAAGGAGAGCAAAGAATTTAAGGTGAATAAAATTAATTGTGCTTAATAAAACTTCCGTTGCAATGCTTTAATTGAATTTTTGCCCTCTCTCTTACTCTTCTCGACTATACATACACCGCCAGAACACTGTGGATAAATTGGTGCAAAGGGCGAATGCGTCACTGCTGATTGGCACATCGTCGTGGAAGGAACAGTTTGCGGATGCGTTGACGGTAACTGCTGGTAAGATATATTACTAAATGGAAATTAATGCACAGGCTACATAGCTGTATATATTTATTACATACCAGCTAAGATTTCGCACATTGAACTTTCTTCCGAATTATAATTTCAATAAAGAATTTTAATAGTTTGATTAATAACACATTGACTCTACGAGAACGGTGCGAAAGGTACTTAACCCTACCGTCATGTGACACCGTGCAGTATATACTCGTAGACGGCTACTGTCAAAATTTTAGCCGAATCGAACTCGTAGTTTTGTTTTAACCATGTGTAGAGACAGACGTGTTTGCGAATTTTAGAAAAATGCAAAAGGTCAATTCGATTTCTTGTTTTTAGAAGCGAAAACGCTTAAATGAGACAGTCAAAACTTGGCTGTCATAGAAGATAACGTGACGAATATCTTGTAATGTCAGACTGACTATGTTGAGAAATGAATCTCTATTTTTTCAAAATTTTATTTTTTCTTTTGTATCCTAAATATTTATTGGAGCGACAACGTATAATGATGCGACAAAAATTGGCAATAAAAATGGCGAAAATCAGCAACGGGTTGATATCTGTAGAGTCAACCCAACCTCATTCATCGAAATTCGATCACTTGGATTGACTCGTAAAGGTCTTCCAAATTTAGAAAAGAGTTTAGATTTATCTCATACAATATTTGTGAGACTTTTCTAAAATCCGCTGAGACCACGTTCATGTTATAGAATCTCATAAAAATAATGGACGAGGTTCGTGTAACTAATAATAAATAATAGTTGACTGAATTTACTGCGCGGCCTATTATATATATAAATATAATATATATTTTCTGTTTTATAAAGAAGTCCAAACTCTTCAAAAAGCAATAAATTTGTCAGAAAGTTATAACAGAGATTACTAAGAGGGTAAACTTTCGCGGATGGTAGATCAGTAATTTTTAAAACTAATGACAGAGTAATTTTTAATTATGCTTTAAAAATAGTAAAAGTTCGGAAAATTTTAAAAAGTAATATAATATTTCCAGTTTTTTCCCGAGACATTATAAAACCAATGTTTCTCCTCCTTTTTAGTTTTGCCAGCATATTCCAAGCCCAATATAATATAAGGGCATTAGTACAATTCAGTATTGTAAATATCTGAACCTCTTCATTATTTTTAGGCGATGATGATGGCGAAGGTGAGGATGATGGGCCTTCATCACCTTCATGCTTCGATTACATATTGCATTTTCTAACGCTCTTCTGGAAAATCTTATTCGCATTCATACCGCCAACAGGTGAGTTCCACTACATCAACTTTAAAAACTTTGGCGAACGCATTGCATAGTCCTTCAATTAGTTTCAAATTACCTATGTACATATGTACTTGTTCCTAATTGAATTTCTCAACTCCTCCATAATTATCTAGATATTGCCAACGGTTATGTGTGCTTTGTTGTTTCGATATGTGGCATCGGCCTGGTGACAGCACTAATTGGTGATGTGGCATCGCATTTCGGTTGCACGCTCGGCGTAAAGGATGCGGTAACGGCGATTTGTTTTGTAGCGCTCGGCACCAGTTTGCCAGGTAAGTGCGAATTGCTGTTATGCCCCCATGTCATTTACGTTCGTAATTGCGTAAAGACACAGTTAATGTCAGTAGTTCTAGTTTGTGCAGTACTTACTTATAGTCCATAACGGTACATTACACAAAATATCCTTTGGTTTCAGATACATTCGCCAGTAAAGTGGCCGCCATACAGGATAAAACTGCCGATGCGAGTATCGGCAATGTGACAGGTAGTAATGCAGTGAATGTCTTCCTTGGTATCGGTGTAGCGTGGACCATGGCCGCTATATACCATGAATCGCATGGACGGGCCTTCAAAGTGGAGGCGGGCACGTAAGTTGAAATAGATTTATTTTTGTGTGGGAGCAACTAATTGATTCGAGAATATATCGGTTTCGCTACATTTAGGCTTAAAAAGAGTTATTGAGGCTCTTGTTGAGAATAGACATCTTGGTTAGAGTTAAACTTTAGTTGACTGCGATTCGGCATTTTTGTAACCTGAACAGGATACATCCATCTTTCTGTGTATACGCGAACTGGTATCTCAGTTTATGAGATATTGATCCGAAAATTTTCACAAGTCCCTTCCCATCAAGAAGCTACTCACTTGTCGGAACCGCCGATATCGGATCACTATACCATAAAGCCGCGATACAAACTGACCGATCAAAATCCAGTACTTGTATGGAAAACTCTTGTATTTAATGAGATATCAAATTTGGCAGGGAGTATTGTCGAAGACAACGGTATAGCTTCGGTGTACCCGAAGTTATCGTTTTTTTTTGTTTTTACTTGCTATGTTTGAGCTATGCTTTCTTGGCAAAATATTACTCATCAAGTTTATTGCAATACAGGGAATGGGAATTCCTTCGCCTCTCGCTGGCTCTTCTACATTTTGCGATAATGAAAGTCTCTTGCTATAGCAGTATGCAGGTGTTTGTTCGAACACATTTCTTAGCATTCCTGTCCAAATTCTTAATAATACTTTCTTGCTACTAGATGGTAACATTCTCAAGTCTTTTAAGTCAAAGAGTCTTACCATAGTGAATTTTATCTCAGAAATATCATGAATTACTGTCATATTTTATATAAGTTTAACTCTACTCGAACCAAGAGCTCTAACCCCCCTTAACTGAGTTGACTCAGAGTCCAGGAAACTTCTTCTTTGTTGTAGAAATCTTAATGATATCTGAAAATTTTGTAACCTAAAATTTTTCCACTTGCTGCTCAAAGCTTGGCATTCTCAGTGACACTTTTCCTATCGGGAGCTGTGATTGCCGTTTTCCTGATAATGTATCGGCGTAAGAAATCCATTGGCGGCGAATTGGGCGGCCCCTCACCACAAAAATACATACATAGCGCCATTTTCTTTAGTCTGTGGTTAATGTACCTAATAATGAGCACTTTGGAAGCGTACGGAGTCATCCAAGGATTCTAAAGGAGCACAAAACAAAACGGTCACAGATTGTATGGATAACTACTACTACATACATACTTACATACAAACTTACCAACTTACTATCTTCTTAATAGCCAAAAACAAAAACTAAATAAATTGACATACACAGACACACTCATACAAGCATAAAAAATACAAATTTATAGGCATCCAATATATAATAAGCCCACATACATACATACAAGCGTTACTAATGCATAAGGTACAATTTAAACAGCAAATTTGACTTGAATTAAAGTGGAAATAAAAACTATTTGCGAGTAAAAAAAAAACATAAGTGCAAAAGTATTTTACAGTATATCACAAAAAAAATTTAATTTAAAATTTGTTTAGTAAAAATTTATTAAATTATAATTACAATTTGCACTGTCTTCATAAATAGTTATAAAAAGGAAAAGATTTAAGAAACCAAAAATTTGTACTACAAGATTGATTAGGGGTTGATAGCTCAGCTTACACGATTTCTTAAAAATCTGAAGTAAAATTTCAAACTAACAAGATCTATGATTACAAGTATAGCAAGGTTGGCTTCATTTTCAAAAACCTGTAGAAGATTCCATTTAGTTCTAATACTTAGCCGACCGCAAAATGAGCATGCTATGAAACAATACACGAAATACTTACGAAATTCTTTTGAATTTGGCTTGAGAGGAGCTTTATGAAAACCTCTAAACATTCGTAATACTTTTAGAAATTTTTAGGAAATACTTAAAACCCTCATGCTACATGGAAAAAACTGCGTAAAAAATAGAAGAGTGTAATGTAAAGAGTTTTCTGCACTAAAGATGTACATTAAGAAGAAATTGGTGTGAGAAAACATTTTGAAACACACGCCTAACTTAAACACAAGAACTGATCTTTAGTATACAAGTAATATATATAAATAAAATATAATTCAAAAGCATTATAGAGAAAAAGAGAATTCGTAAATCCAGTCACCATAATTAAATCCGTTTGTAGTAGTTTTGTTTAAGTGAAAATCTCTTACCGAAGATTTCCTTCATACTAATGGGCATTTAAAAAAAAGTAACGAGATAAATAAGTAACACCACGCTTTTCAATACCTTCGCTCTTTCAAAATCGGCTCTCTACTATTTACCTTTACGTACATGCGCTCAGCTACACACCGGCTTAGGGGACAACAAAACAGTTTTTCCATTTAAACAGTAACACTTTGTTTTGCAATAGGCTTGAGTACGGTCAGTACGTTGCCGTTAGGAACTCCCTCCTTTTGAATTCCATCGTGATGTTAAGCTTCTTTGATGACACGAAAGTATTTTTATTGAGTTGGGCACTGTGTTGGACAGAAGAAATCTTAAGCAAGTAGTTTTAAGCCGCGGTCGTCGATGCAGCAAGACTTTAGATGGAGCAAGACTTTAGAAGGAAAGCCGGAAAGTGTTTGCTGACTGTTAAACTTTTAGCGGGCCTTTGAAATATTTGTAAATTGTGAAAGTTTTATTTGGCTGAGACTATCACCTTTTGTGAAAAAAAATACTCACACATAAATCCAATTTTCTAAATCAAATATCTAAACCCAAATTTCTCAAAACACAGAAGAAATTCAACAACTACCTAAAGCTAATAAAAATGTAGGATTATCTGGCTTGAAAATCATAGCAAATTTAAACGATACAGGCACAAAGGAGGCAAAATTTCTAACAAATAAAGAATAGTAACAAAATTGCAGTAAGGTGGAAACCATAATTAAAGTAGGTGGCAGAACGAATGTTAACAGGAAAAAGCAACAAATATACTATTGAAAAACATTACTAGCAGAGCAAAATGCATAGACAAATTAGAAAGAGGGGATTAGAGGAAATAAATATATAATGAAAAGCAACAATCATAGAATTTTTGCCTAAAAGGCCAGGCAACATTTTAAGGAACAATTACATAATTACAAGCATGCAAGCATAGAAGCATAGAAACATAGAAGATGTAGGCTAAACACATAGATAAAGCATAGTTAAAAGTAGTGATTTGAAAAGAGAGCAATAGCGCGCGATATTTATGTAGCAAGGATGTTGGGCGGACATTTTACGCTGTGCCACAATGCACAGTTATACTGAAGTACTTTAAAAATGTAAACGAAACATCAAGTATAATTACAACAATAAACAAAAGAGGCAAAATATGCAATAAACTTGTATTATTAAATTTAATTTATTTTTTATATATATTATAATGATAATATACATATATATGTAATTAATAATATAAATGCAAATAAGTTATGCCATTAAAGATATACAAAAAAAAAAGAAAGCAAAACAAAAAAAAAATACAGAAGAAATAAGAAAATTAATACCATACAGGAGAAGAAACATAAATATTTGCAGAGCGATAGCCATTTTTAGAGAAATTTTATTGTTATTGATATTATTCTTACATTTTATATGTAATGTGTATGTAATGTTAATTTAGTAACAAATTAATAAATAATGCGAAGAAAATGCAAAGCTGTGGTGTTAAAGTAAGAAAAAATAAGTACGAGGAAAATGTACGACTTCACTTTAACGAATCGACAGCGAAGAGAGGAAAACATTTTTTAATAAAAAAAGAAAAAAAATATTATAATGATGCCACAAGATGCCGTTTAAATACAGGGCCTTCCATAATAAAACGATTTTTAATATGTAATTTTTATAAATTTAAGTATTAATTGTTGCAAAGTAAAGCTTACATTTTCTTAGATAATTTTCTTGTAATATATAAATTCAAACCAAAATTGAAATTTATTTAAAATTATTATTAGTTTATATTATTATATTTTTTTAACTTAATTTTAAACCTGCAAGTAACTTCAAACTTGTTTTTGAAAATAATTTAATAATATTTTCCAAAACGTTGGCGTTTCAAAGTGCTATTTCTAAAAAAGGCAATTATATTTTTGTCTTTTTAATATACTAACTAAATTGTAACAGCAGACTAAGGGCAAAGCCTTCACTAAATAAAATAAATAGCAAAAGCTCACATTAGTAACAGCAAACTAAGTGCTAAGCTTTCACTTATTAAAATAAATAGCAGAAGCTCTCATACGTAGATTATACAACAATTTTTAGAACATTTCAAGTTTCGCAAAATGCGATGTTAAAGTTACCCAATATTATTTTATGTTGAAATTATAAAAATTTGAAAAACGCTGTTTCGTTGCTGAGCTTTCATCGCTATTAAAAGCTTTCTCAATTTCTATTGATTTATATTCCTTTCACCATATTTTCCTTTTATTACAATTAAAATTAATTGGAAATTGTAAATGAGGTTATGTTTCCACCCAATTATTTATGTAATGCTGAAAACTATTCTTAATAAACGTTTTTTTTTGTCAACAATTCAACACTTCTTGTTTTGCATAAGCTTCGTTATAAATATTATAAGAAAATTATTTTGTTTTTTTTTCTGAGACGAGGAACTTAAGCATGCTGACTTTACCATAACGGTATAGTTTTTAACTATAAAACTTTATAAGTAAATATATATAAATGAAAAATTAAACTGTAATCGTAAAAATCACTCCAAACTGCTCCATGTAAAAATATTATAAACTATTAATATTAAAATAAAACGCTAAGAAATCGTTGAACTTGCATACATACACAACTTTAGAAAAAATTAAATAAAGTAAGGCATAATTAAATATATTAAAAAGTACATTTGTTTGTAACGTTGTTGATTTTAAGTTAACTATATATTTTGAAAGAACAAACATCGAAAATAAAAATATTAATATTACTTAAATATACCTAAAAGCCCCCAAAAGCCCCCAAAGAGGAAAAATATTTATTTTCAAATTAGTTTTGTTATAAAAAAACACAGTTCTATGTAATTAAGTAGAAAAACTTTAGAGAAACTTAGTCTCAATTATTTTTTGGAACATAAATCACATTCGGTCGAACTAACTACGGCACATACATACATAAATCTATGTGTATTAAATATGTATATGTATTGAGTAATCCAAATCAACTTAGTTATGTATGTAAATATCTATTGTATACTGTAAGTGCATAAGTGAAGAACCCCATTATTTAATTCGTTTTCTATAAGACTTGTTATAGATTTTATTAATATTTAATACCTAAAAACAAAACCAAAAACGAAAGTAAATTGTATACCAAACTATGTATTGTATGTATATTTTAAGCGAGCCATGCAACTTAAGTAAAGTCCAAACTTGAAGCCAAAAATCGAAATATTTCTAAAATGCTTAAACTATACTTAAACTGCAGTCATACCAATAAAAAATCGAATTGCACCCACACATACATAGAAACCGACCTAAATGTGTATATGTGAGTATGTCCAAATGGCTACTATTCACTGTTTATCCTCAACTTGTAAGATAACTCATTGTAGTGAAATATTTCCTCTAAATAATGTTTAATTTCATTATGTAATTTTCCATATGAAACAAGTTTTTTGTTAATAAAATAGAATTTGTTGAATTTTTTTATTTATACCGATTTGAATAAAATTTTAGAAACAAAATAATGAGTGTTCTGCATTTGAATTATTGGAGAGTGGTTAGTTAGAAATTTATCTGCTATTTCTAGTAGGCATCCACGTATCGCGACTGCACTTTTTGAAACACATAACCAATTAATAGGCACATTTATCGCACCAAAAAATCGTGAGTCTGAGTATGACTATAATATTGAACTACATATATTTTTTTGACATATATTCCAATGATATTTAAACTTTTTTCATATATATATTATATATATATATATACATCTTTTTATACATTTGCTTTGACAATTGTTTTGACAGCTCCAAGAAATTATACACCTTATACTGATTTAGTGAACCGCCTCTGTACTACTGATAAACGTAAACACCTTAGCGAAAGTTGGTCTAACCAAATCGATGCTGCTGTTCGAAAAGAGAGCACTAGCTATGGGTAAACGATGCTAATATAACCCAAGAGGCTACAAGTACTTTTCAAATTTCTTAAGGGAGTCGTCTCCCTTCAGGGTTTGAAAAACTCTTTTTATTCATATTTCTTATGTAGACATAACTAGGAACATGCACAATAAACGATTTGATCGCATGCATGTTGGTTTACAAGGTATCTATTCCCAATCCCGTCCCCGCGTTGACAATTCTACTATTCAGTAGTGTTTTTCTTAGTTTTGACACGATTCTGATAAAACTACAAAAGATATTCAAAGTCTGTAATTAATTCACAAAGCATCTCGCCCTGTTTAGACATGAGCTTCTTTGAAAAAATTTTGTTTTAGATAATTTACGGTCTTTTCTAGCTCGAAAAAAAGGTCTAAAAATGCATTCGCTGATATTTTGACAGACTTTCAAATATTCTTGTAACTCGTCAAATCTAAGGTTATAAACACTCTGTAAAAATAGCATTAAACCTTTCATTAACCTGATCAATTTTTATTGATTATTTACTGAAAATGTGATCGAAAAATAGAAAACTATGAAAAGTTGTGCCTAATTCTGAGCATCGTGTATTTCCACGGAACACATTGGACATTCAACTACCGGAATTTCAGTTTACCCACAATATGTTGAATCAACTGTTAAACTTGAATTTTTACAACTATGCACATAACAGGATCGAGGTGAAATTTGATAACTTGGTAAGACAATACTACTTCATATTCTTGTATATTCGTATATAGACTATGGTGATCTGTTATCTTCATAATTCTAATACCGTCGTCAAAATGATAGTAACTGCTTTAAGTAAAAGATTTGAAGTGAAATTTTTTTTTTATGTTAAACAGTGTGAGAAGCTAATGTCTAGGGCTGGTTAATTTGCATACGTATTTACATATATTCTAGATACATATATATATATATGTACGAGTATATGGTATTCATAAGTATGTATATACATACATGCAACAATGTTTTTAAGCTTTACTGCGCAGTTATCTTATCAGTCTCGCAGATTATACTCATTATATGCAGATACTTTTATGCCAAGAGATTTTTTCATACTCGACTCTATATATGGTTATGTATGTCTAAGGTATGTTAATAAATACAAATTGCTGCTCATCTAAGAAATCGTTTTTACTATGTTATCGTTACTAATTGCATGCATTGCTTTTCAAATTTCTATTTCACAGCTTTTAAATATAACATATGTATATGTACATATACAATATATGTATATACAAGTATATCTGTGTGTAAAATACTTTACGCACATTAGAGAATTTATAGTAATAAGAGATAATATTGTTTACAGTAATCAAACTGATACCAAAATACCTACCTAATTATTGAGCAACAAAAAGTTTATTGTAATAACAATGACTAACAAATGACAATGAGGAAAAAAGAAAAAAGTATAGTATTTAAAAATACTATGCAGTTATTTGTGCATACAGTGGTGGCAAAACACTTGTGTGTACCCTGAAGCAAATATATATATAGAAAACTTCTTATGGTGCGACCGAATAGTAATAATATTTTTTGTTTTTATAATTTATTGTACCAAATACACAATAAAAGAAAGTCAAAATAATTAAAATATATAGAATTTTGAGAATTGTCGTTAAATTAGACTTATCCCAAATATTTTAGAGACACATATACTATATATTTCAGTTAGAGATAATGACAGGAAAAACTTCTTCATTTAAAGTGTACTAAAATATATTACAATATTTGAGTAAAGTAATGTAAACTATTATACCGGCAGGTTGAAGAATACATACTTATTGTTTTAAAAACAATACATTCAAGATTATTCATGATATCTTAGTTCGAGGACGATACTCCAATTACAGCGATCTTCCAACTTTTCGATACTATTTTGCTGTAGGATCTGTTTATTGCTTTAAAATTGGTCTTAATTAATCAAACGCTATCCATTCCCATATGGTCGAAGAACAAGAAAATATCGCTGAGGGACAAAACAGAAAAATATGGGAAAGCGTAAGCAACTGAAGTACAATTAGTTTCATCCAAAATCTTATTTATAAATTGTCGAGAGCATATCGAATATATTTTTGATTACATCTTTATAACAACATTTCTATTTTTTTTTTGTCAATGCATATTTTTTTCATACTTTAATTTTAATAAAATAAAATATTTCTATCGAACCAATTTAGAGCGACACCACTGTGTATATGTATTTATACTTCATACGCATATTTCTTACTTTAATTTATAAAATTTATACCGTGAAATGTTGATTCTTCTGCAAGCATTGCAGTTTAAGTTGAGTCGTTGTGGAGATACAACGAAATCTTGTCGACGCACTATCAAAATTAAGCAGAGTTAAATTTACATCAACATTAATGATACAGAATAACGTCGATTTATACACATAACATACATATTTTCTGTAAACAAAGATAATTGAAAGCTTAAAAAATGCCGCTAGATACCGAAAGCACTGCACTCTTGAGCAAAGAACAACTCAAATCTAACAGTTACAACAATGGACACTATCCGAAACACAAATCGAAATCGCATTCGCATTACATCGACGTTCTGGAGAAACCGCTATATAACGATTATGCATCCATATTAGCGAAGGATGAGTGAGTTTGAAATGAATTTAGGTATAATATTTTATTTTCCTGCATTAAAAAGATACACTTTCCCTTGCAGCTTCTCCGCTAGCCTAAGTCTGGAAGAACTGCTGCCCTTTATCGACGATCCATGGTGGCAAAAACTGCGGCGTACACTCTTCTGCACATTCTGCTTGGTGTTTTGGTTGATTTTATTCACCGGCTGTACGCTTGCCTACATGGAACGTAATAAACAATGTGTCATCTCGATCGCAAGTGCAACAACACCAACTAATACGAGTACGATGGCAGCTGCAACTCTGCAGAGGATTTAAAGCTGAAAAACGAAGCCGACTGAATACTAAAGAAAGAAGTAAAACGGAAGATTTTAGTGTAAACTTCTAATTTGGAACTGAGATGCGAAGTTTTCTGCTTTATGATTATTCATGTTTAATTTGAAAAGTGTTTGTCATAACTTATCAAAGTCGCATACCTATTTTTACACCTAATTAACAGTGAAATCATTATTAGGGTGTGGAAAGGTAGCTTTTCTGAAAGATGAAGAGAATATTATGGTTAACGTCAGCTCAAATTTTGAATTGCTTAGTTCAAACATTTAATACATTACAATTTTTGGTATTATATAAACTTTGAAAGCACTTTTTATAAAAATATCAAGTCAGAAAATATATCATAATACAATGTATTGGATTATCGGTTCGTACTTTTGTTTTGATCACATGTGGGAGCAGGTGTATTTTTGAAAAATCAAAGACCAAATGGGACAGACATCGACTAAAAAATAAACAAAATTCACCCAGCGAAAGTGCTCCAAGGAAGGTGAGGACTGCCCTATCGATAGAAAAGATGATAATTATCGTTTTCTGGTTTCACAAGGTGTGATCCACATCAATCTGGAGAAGGTCAAACCGGTCATAGACCTTTACTATTCCAAATTATTAGTATTTGAATCGCGACCGAATAGCAGACTATGTATAATATTGCACAATAATATTGTAGACATAAATATATCACTGGTAAATACTATTTTTGTCATACACTTTGTTAAGAATAGTGTTTCAATTACTACATCCAATTTTTTGTGACATCATATACGTGTCTTTTTTTAAAGAACTTCATTTATACGACGGTATAACTATTGCATTCATCTAACTTACATCATATACATATACGTTGGTTACATCGTAAACATGCCACGAAAGTATTCTAACGATAAAATTTTTTTTAAAAGCTATGCCTAGAGATGGCAGTGGATTTATATATCTGAAAAAGAATTTCCCCATTTGTAGGTCCACAAATACGGCACCTGATAAAGGATAACTTAACTTTATAATATATATAACTTAATAACTAGAACTTTGAAGAAAAACTGAATGATTAGGAAAAACTCGCCTGGAAATGTTTTGTGAACGTTGTCCAAAAAACCATAAATCGGAAAATTACAAAGACTTAATAAATTAACTTATAATGTCATATAAAACTTTAGGGTGCAATATGTTCTTAAAAAAAATATAATAGACCTCTCATCTGGAATTCTTCCCAACAAATTGTGTGATGTGAGTGACGAACAATGCGAGAGCTTTCATCACGATATTTCCTTAATGGAGAAGAGCTATCAAGGGGAATGGAGCGCAGGAATAATAACAAATTATTTTTGCACACTTACCAAATGTTCAATAATTTCTCTATTGTCGTATTTTTGTAGGGCGACAGTAAGGAATTTTTATTGCAGAAAGGTAAAACTGTTAGTTGTTGATGTAAGTAAAAAAAAAAAGAAGTTATTTCGACAAGTTATTTGAACCACTGGCAAAGGACTCCCAGAAGGGTAGATTTGAGAAGATGTGCTGAGGGTACTTAATGCATCGTGGTCGCGTCTGAGTAAGTAGTACCACATTCAATTCCTACTGGGTAGCTATGGTAATGTTGACATTAATTGCTGGAATAAAACTTCTTCTTAGTTGTTCACCAATAAGGTTAGAAATGTTAGCATACATATGTGTTAGTGGTAAGTTTTAATCGAATACAGACTAGGTTGTAGTCTGAATGTAAGGGTTAAGTAAATATTGAATCAATGGTCTTATCAATAATAACTCATTTTCACCACATTAGCTTTGAAGTACCGCAATCGATTACAGACAATTGCAACACATATAATATGTAAGTATATCTATGTTTATAATCGTAAACAGTACATTTTACCTTTTAAATATTATATATATAAATATAGTATAATGAATGCGTACTAATGTATGATTTATTTTATTTCTAAAAAAAGTCTAAGTACAAATAGTTATTTTAAATACAAAATCTTACATGAAAAATATATTAATTAATTAGTTAAATGCAAAATAACATTATAAAATTTATTAAAGATATACATATTTGCATTTTCACTCGTTGCTCGGTTTCATAAGCTTCTTCGGAATCGGCGCCGCTGTGCTGTTGCTATTTTCGTGAATTATACGAATCAAACTTTTTGCATCACTCACCGCGACGCTATGCAACTTGACTGGGCGTGGCGATGTGGCCCATGCGTTGAAGTCGAAGTGCTCTATTTCGCTACAATTCACGTAGCCGTTAGAACTATCCTTACGTTGTTTCATTACGTATTTCCGCACCTGTTGCACAGCATCCGAATTCTGGCAAATGATCTTCGCCAAAGTGACACTGTAGATCTGACGCAATTGCGCTGAAAATAACGGAATTATGCACTTAATACTAATGATGTGATTTTTTTATATAATCGAATTATATGTTCCAAGCATAATATAATTGCAAACATAGATCACTTGCCAACTCTGTGGACGCTTGATTACATTTGAAGAGTTCTTTATAGATTTTGAAACAGAAAAAAATCACACAAGCGCACCGTAATTTATACCTTTTATATATAGAATAAAGTAGTGAAAGCAAGTATAGTGCTGCCTCTTGTTAAATATAGATTAGCCACTTTACACCGAGCAACATTTTTAATCAATTCCAACAAATTTAGGAACCGATATTAATCAAAATATAGATAAAACCAGGGATTAATAACGACAAGTTCATAAATATTGCAGGGTTATGTACATAGTAGGGTTTTTAATTGCTGCCAATGAAACTAAGGACTTTAATTTATTATACAAACTGTTAGGGGTTCAAGTATCTATGGAGACAATAGCTAAACTTATAAAATACATTAATTTCTAATTAACATTCGGTAGGCAGATATTGTCGAAAACCTATAAAAGTTGTACAGTATAAATTCTATCAGGTATCGAAAAAAAAACTTTCAATAATATCTGGACATTATAGCATTATCATATAACTAGAGCCATAAGTGTTTCAAATCAGCACCTCCGCAAGGTAACAATAGATTGCATTCGCTTTCTTATATGAAAATGCTTTGAAAACTAAGTCAATCAAAAATGGAAACAGTGAAACTAGTAAAGTGAAAATAGGAGCACTGATTACAAAACAAAAAATGTATAATATGTATTTGGGCAACAAGGATTGTAGGAAATTGTTAGCGATCTCATAAAAACTACCTTTCGTAAAACGTTGTGGTCCTATCTTCCTTTCGTACCAATGAGAATCACCCCTCTTTAGTCGCACAAATTGATCTGATACCAAACACGTCAGCAATGGTCCAAATATAGCGCCATCCAATGGAGGCTCGCTCAGTGCGCCCGTGTAAACATCGACATCATGTGGCGAACTAAAAATTAATGTAATCCTTTCTTCCTCTTACTTTATTGCGGTATTTTCGGTTGCGTACCTGTAGATTTGTCTGATTGACTGCAAGGTATTTGCATCAATGGCGTTCGCCATTTCTTCCCACGTATCTGTAGGTGGTAGGTTACAGTGTTTTCGAAATACTGGATACGCTGGCAGACCATGATCACGACCACGCTGTATATTCAGTGAAACAAGATCGAGTCCACAAAGGGGTTTCATATCTTCTTCAGGGCGTCCTTCAAATATCTTCTGTGTCACCTCGTAGGAAAAGAAACGATCAACACGCAGAACAGCCGTATTGCTGGCGGTTAAGAGCGCACGATCGATACCGTGCTCCGACCAGAGAGAAAACGGATTGAAGAGCATCGTATGCAGTTCGATAGATTCTGGCACGCTATTGTCACGTGTAGCATTGAGTACTCCCTGCAAGGCACACATTCATATTTAGATAAATAATAAACAGAAGCTAGGAGCAGAACTCACCGGCAGCAATGTATGTGCAAATCGGAAAGCTGCACCAGCAAAGCAATTCGCTATGCTGGGATCCACATTTCTTTCGTAGGTGTCGGGCGCACCCAAATCGTCTGTACTTGGTAGCAAACCCTTTTTCTTAGCCAATTTTTCGCCAACTAGAATCGGCAGGAACTCATTGTATGTAATGTGTGCCATTTTGGCGCTTAAAATCTTTCGCGATTCCTGAAAGACTCTCTCATCATCCCAATGCGGATTAACCGACTGCAAGCCTCGTGCCAAAAAGTTGTGATGACGCGCCCACAGCAGATGCATCGATGTCAGCAGCAAATTTTCATTAGCACGATCATCGCCTGATTCAAAGCAATATTTTCCTGCCGTTGCCATTTCCAAGCGATTACAGCCGTCTTCTAGATTGGTCGATAACGGCAACAATTGCCGTCCATCGCCAGTAATATACATACGCATTGTACCGTTAGACATGGTACGCAAATGCCGTTGCCGTTGCTCTGTACATCCATACACCACAGAACCATCAATAAAAGCGGTACCTTGGTTTAGTTGTTGACGTGGACCGAAATGTCCGGTCGGCGCGGGTGCAGAACGTACAAAATTTAAACAAGTCACGTTGTAACGCTGATAATATGGATCATCCGGCAATATCGGCACTGGGTAACACTCCGGATGCATCTCCGATGTGGTTAAGGCACAACAGTCGATCGATTCACCTTCCGGTAAAGACGAAAGAGAAGTTGCTGTTATATCGTGATCAAGAAACTGACCGAAAACTGCCAACATAACAGTAAAATTGGCATCGGTATCATAAGAAGCACGGTGTATATCCAAAGAAACTTTACGAGCCGGTGGCAATTGAGTACCATCACTAGCATGACTGGCACGCGGCACAGAAATACCGTCCGCATAATCGGGCGCCACCATGCGTCTATAGGGTATCATGGCTGCACCGTACAAACGCGGATGTGCCTTATTGTTGCACACGCCACTAGCAGTACGATAACGGGCATTGAAATCGCATGTAAAGTTCATTGTCGGATCGGGCAGCTCAATTATCGGTCCATTGCCAATGTTATTGCGCCCATTCGGCTTCGTATAGTTCAACAGTTGTGCAATATGCGTAGTCGCATGATTTTCCACATAGCCGCGTCGTGCCAATTTCCGTGCCTCCGGACCGCTGCTGAGCGAGCGGTAATGCCGGAAGGCGGGACTGTGTATGGGCGTCAATTGCTGGCTTTCCTCTAATATTTCGCGGTCACCTAACGCTTTTATGCCTGCATTAACCGCTTCTCTGCTTTGCGTGCGGTTTATAAGTGCTCGCTTTAATGCCCATTCGGCGTTGGGTTCGTCAGCCAGCGGTGTTCTTGCGGCTTCTAGTGCGGCGCTTGCATTTGCACTGCTATTCGCCGGACTTGTTTCGTTTATAGCAGCCGCCGCAAGTAGTATGGGAGTCGGCGGCTCCTCCGGCTCTTCAACCAGCACAAATGCAGCAA